TTTTATAAATAGTTACATTATTTCTTCTCGGGTCAGTTCTGGTAGTTTGTGTCTTTCAAGGAATTGGTTGGTTCCATCTGAGCTGTCGAATTCATGGGCACAGGGCTGCTCACAGCACCCCTTTATAGTGTCTGGAGAGCCTACAGAACATCCCTTCTCCCACTGGCGACACTGGTAACTTGTGTTTTCTCTCTTCTTTGTCCATCTGGCTACAGGTTTATCAATTTTAATGATCTATTCAAAGGACCAGCTTTGGGTTCAGCTGACTTTTTCCTCTCTGCTGCTCTTCTGTTTTCGATTTCACTGCTTTGTGCTGTTCTCACCATCTGACTCCTCTGCTTGCCTTGGATTTACCTTGCATTTCATTTTATAGTAGCTTAAGGTTAAAGCCTAGATTGATGATTTGAGACCTTTCTTCTCTTCTGATACCAGCCCTTAATACTATAAATTTACCTCTAAACACTGATTTAACTGCATCCCACAAATCTTGATATGATGTTTTATTTCTGTTCAGCTCAAAATGTTTTCTAATTTGCTTTGAGACAATCTCTCTGGCCCACAGATCATTAGAAGTATTGTTTAGCTTCTAAATCTTTGGGGATCTTCAAGATATCTTTCTGTTATTAATTTCTAGCTTAAGTACATTATAATCACAGAATATACTTTGGATGATTTCAGTTCTTTTAAGTAAAACTTTATGACCCAGGATATGGTCTGTTTTGGTGAATGCTCAATGAACATTTGAAAATAATGCATATTCTGGGTGATGTGTTCTATAAATGTCAATAAGATCCACTTGCTTGCTGGTGGTGTTCAGACTTTCTATACCTTTGCAGATTTTCCATCTACTTTTTCTATAAATTACTGAGGAGAGTTAAAGTCCCTGACTATAACTGTGAATTTGTCTATTTCTCTTTGCATTTCTGTCAGTTTCAGCTTTGTACATTTTGAGGCCCTGTTGTTTGGTATATACACATTTAGGACTGTTATATATTTTTGGTGAATTGATCCACTTATCATTACATAATTTCCCTTTTTATCCAAGGTATTTTTCCTCATTCTGGAAGTCTACTTTGATAGTAATACAGATACTCTAGCTGTCTTTGATTAGTGTATGCATGATGTATCTTTTCCCATCCTTTTATTTTTAATCTATCTACGTCATTATATTTAAAGAGGGTTTTTTGGTAAACAGTAGGTAGCTGGGTCTTGTTATTTTAATCTAACAATCTCTGACCTGTAATTGATATAATTAGACCATTTACATTTAATGTTATTACAGATATGTTTGAATTTAGGTCCATTATTTTATTTTTTGGTTCTCAGGTTATCCCTCTTTTTTTCCATTTCCCCTTTCCTGCCTTCTTTTAGATTCTGAATTTTTTTTAGTATTCCATTTTAACTTATCTATTGTATTTTTCAATGTATCTCTCTGTATAGTTTTTAGTGCTTGCTCTAGGGCAGTGGTTCCCAAGTTGGAGTGATTTTGCCCCACTGTATTCTTCACACAGGAAACTTCTGGCAATTTCTGGAGACATTTTTAGATTTCACAACTGGAGGAACACATCTGGCATATAGTGGGTAGAGGCCATGGATGCTTTTAAACATCCTATGATGTGGGGATAGGATCGTCCTCCACGTAAAGAATTCCCCAATGCACAATGTCAATAGTGCTGTTGTCAAAACACCCTGTTCTAGGAACTATAATATACTCAACTTTTCAGAGTCTGCTTGGAATAAATATTTTATTATTTCCAGTGGAATGTGGAAACCTTACCACAAGAAAGGTTGTTTTAGTCTCCTTTATGTTGTAGTTGTCATATACAAGGACACGTCAAAAGTTCATGGAAAAATGGAATTAAAAGATAATACAAACCTTTCCATGAACTTTGTGAAATAGCCTCATATTATACCTACATACATTGAAATCCCCACCAGACAGAGTTATATTTTTTGCTTTCAGCCTTCACACGTAATTTAAATAACTTAAGAGAAGAAAAAGTAATCTTTTATATTTACCCAGATATTTACCATTTCATGGCTCTTCCTTCACCCCTGGAGTTCCAGGTTTCCCTCTGGTACCATTTTCCTTCCAGGTGAAGAACTTCCTCTAGCATTTCCTTCAGAGTAGGACCACTGGCAATGGATTTTCCTAGTTTTCTTTCATTTGAGAAGATCTTTATTTCATCTTTATGCCTGAAGGATATTTTTGCTGAACATAGAATTCTCGGTTGACAGTTCCTTTCTATCAGTACCTGAGAAATGTTGTGCCATTTCCTTCTGACTTGCATGGTTTCTGATGAGTTTCTTTCATTTGAGAAGATCTTTATTTCATCTTTATGCCTGAAGGATATTTTTGCTGAACACAGAATTCTCGGTTGACAGTTCCTTTCTATCAGTACCTGAGAAATGTTGTGCCATTTCCTTCTGACTTGCATGGTTTCTGATGACAAATCCACATTAATTTGAGTCCTTGTTCCCATATATACAATATGTCCTTTTTCTCTGACTGCTTTCAATATTTTTTATTTAACTTTGGTTTTTACCAGTTTGATTGTGATGTGATACATCTTTGAGATTTGCTGACCTCCTTAAATTTATAAGTTTCTCTTTCACCAAATTGAGGACATTTTCATCCCTTATTTCTTCAACTCCTTTTTCTGTGTTACACTCTTTCTCTTCTCCTCCAGACTCAGAGGAGACCTTCTGACTTGCCCGACCCTATTCATTTTCTTGTTTTTGTTTGTCAGTTGCTTCCTATTCAGAATGAATACTTTTTGTTGATCTATCTTCAAGTTCACTGTTTCCTCTATCGTCTCCACTCTACTACTGAGCCACTATAGTAAATTTTAAATTTAGAATATTGTATTTTTCCATTTAAAGTTTTCTGCTTGGTTCTTTTTTATAGCTTCTATTTCTCTG